TCGTTCTAGTCCTTGCATTTTCTACGAACCTACAAGGGACGTACGATTAGTTGTGCACGGCGATGATTTTACAGCTTCCTCAGACGACGACGGCCTTGAGTGGCTCACAGAGGTGTTGAAAACATCGATGGCCTTAAAAGTAAAGGCAACTCTTGGGCCGGAAGACGGCGACGACAAGAGCGTCCGGATTCTCAACAGGATCGTGTCTTGGACAGGAGATGGCATTGAATACGAATGTGACCAAAGGCACATTGAGCTAGTCATCAGAGACAGTGGCATCCAGGAAGAGCGATCGAAAACGTGCTCCACTCCTGGTGTCAAGGAAACGTTAGATTCTGACTCTGACCTCAGACCACTTTCTCCAGAAATGGTTAAATCATTCAGATCCCTGTGCATGAGAATAAATTACGTAGCACAAGACAGAAGCGACATTCAGTACGCAGCGAAAGAGCTCGCGAGAGGAATGCAACAACCAACGTTCGGCCATTGGAACAAAATGAAGCGACTTGCGCGTTATTTGAAAGGCCGACCAAGGATCATTTTACAATACCCGTTTCAAGAAACATGTTCGTTTTTAGATGTAGTTGTTGACACAGACCACGCAGGATGTTTAAGAACACGCAAGAGCACAAACGGAGGAGCACTAATGTTTGGCTTGCACACAATTAAATCTTGGAGCAGCACACAAAGCGTGATTGCACTAAGCTCCGGGGAAGCAGAATTTTACGGAATAGTAAAAGGTGCAAGTGTGTTGTTAGGAGCATTGTCATTATCATCTGACTTTGGCATTGTTTTGAAAGGGCGTCTGAGCACTGACAGCTCAGCAGCAAAAGGGATCGCATCCAGGCGAGGACTGGGTAAAGTGAAACATCTTCACACCCAGTATTTGTGGGTTCAAGAGAGACTCGCAAACAACGATTTCGTCATCCGAAAAATCGGCACTGACGACAACCCCGGCGATCTCATGACAAAGTACTTGGACAGACCGAAACTCGACCGATTCGTAAGAGGACTCGGCTACACCACGCGAGACGGAAGACACGAGCTAGCACCACAGTTTGCGAATCAAACTCTTGATTTGAATTTGTTGGAAGAGCAGGAATGGCTTGAGCCTGGCTCTGCGCAAGCAACCAGAAACAAGAGCAGAACGATGTTCTTCGACATCAGCGGCAATGCGCTCAAGAAAGCGTAACCGCAGCATCCGTGAATCCCCGCTCCACTACCTAGGTTAGTAAAGCCATGTAGAGTAGGCAAACACCGTGTGCGAGGAACTGCTCGCCCGAGGTGTAGGAGGAGTGTGGGGAAATATACTCACCTTGTGTATCGTAGCAGAACTGTGCGCGATTCCGCAGCCATTTCAGATCTCAAGAAAAGGCATCAAAATCATAATATCATTTCACAGCTAAGCAGTTCGCAAGACTTCAAGAATCTAAAACCATCAGCCGACTCGCAATCGAGAAGTTCTTCCGACCCAGCAACCAGCTCTCAGCCGCAACAGTAACGGTTCCTTTCCACCGCGAAGTGGGTTTCAGAAATTGCAAATGCGCGCGACTTCCTCGGACAAAAAATATGGCACCCCAAACCGAAGACCCTTTCCTCAGCCTCTGGGTGTTCTGTAGCGCGCACAAGTGTACTGGGTCCGCGCTCCCGAGGCCACGATCCCTCGTACGTAAAACGGTCCACACGCACACACCCCAAGCACCAATCCATTGTAAAAATTAGCCTGGCGAAGGACCCAACCATATGCAGCTGCGAGTACCGCAAGGATACCAGTGTCAAGCTCCCCCCGACCTTCGGTGGAGATCCCTATGGGGCCACGAAACGTGTGAGGGGTGTGCCGAAATGGGTGTTGGGGAGTGCCGAAATGGGTGGTGGGGAGGCATACGAACCCTGCCACTGGCGCCTTCGGTGGAGCTGCCTATGGGGCCACGAAACGTGTGAGGGGTGTGCCGAAATGGGTGGTGGGGAGGCATGCGAACCCTGCCACCAGGGCCTTCGGTGGAGCTCCCTATGGGGCCACGAAACGTGTGAGGGGTGTGCCGAGATGGGTGGTGGGGAGGGCATGCGAACCCTGCCACTGGGGCCTTCGGTGGAGGTCCCTATGGGGCCACGAAGCGTGTGAGGGGTGTGCCGCAATGGGTGTTGGGGAGGCATGCGAACCCTGCCACTGGGGCCTTCGGTGGAGCTCCCTATGGGGCCACGAAACGTGTGAGGGGTGTGCCGAAATGGGTGGTGGGGAGGCATGCGAACCCTGCCACTGGGGCCTTCGGTGGAGCTCCCTATGGGGCCACGAAACGTGTGAGGTGTGTGCCGAAATGGGTGGTGGGGAGGCATGCGAACCCTGCCACTGGGGCCTTCGGTGGAGCTCCCTATGGGGCCACGAAACGTGTGAGGGGTGTGCCGACGAAGACGACGAAGATGAGATGGGGGGTGCATGCGAACGCAAGCCACTTGGGCTTCGGTGGAGCTCCCTATGGGGCCACGACACGTGTGAGGGGTGTGCCGAAATGGGTGGTGGGGAGGCATGCGAACCCTGCCACTGGGGCCATCGGTGGAGTTCCTTATGGGGCCACGAAACGTGTGAGGGGTGTGCCGAAATGGGTGGTGGGGAGGCATGCGAACGCAGCCACTGGGGCCTTCGGTGGAGCTCCCTATGGGGCCACGAAACGTGTGAGGGGTGTGCCGAAATTGGTGGTGGGGAGGCATGGAAACCCTGCCACTATGGGCCACGAAGACGGTCGGTGAGGGGTTGTGCCGAAAATTGGTGGTGCGGAGGCATTGCGCACGCAGCACACTGGGGCCCTTCGGTGGAAGCTACCAATGGGGCCACTAAGCGTGTGAGGGGCCTTCTTGTGGCCGAAAGCTTTGGTGGGGAGGCATGCGAACGCAGCCACTGGGCCTTCGGTGGAGCTCCCTATGGGGCCACGATCCTCGTGAGGGGTGCGCCGAAATGGGGCGGGGCCGCCATGCGAACGCAGCCACTGGGGCCTTCGGTGGAGCTCCCTATGGGGCCACGAAACGTGTGAGGGGTGTGCCGACATGGGTGGTGGGGAGGCATGCGAACGCAGCCACTGGGGCCTTCGGTGGAGCTGCCTATGGGGCCACGAAACGTGTGAGGGGTGTGCCGAAATGGGTGGTGGGGAGGCATGCGAACGCAGCCACTGGGGCCTTCGGTGGAGCTCCCTATGGGGCCACGAAACGTGTGAGGGGTGTGCCGAAATGGGTGGTGGGGAGGCATGCGAACGCAGCCACTGGGGCCTTCGGTGGAGCTCCCATGGGCCACGAAACGTGTGAGGGGTGTGTGCCGAAATGGGTGGGGGGAGGCATGCGGAACGACCACTGGGGCCTTCGGTGGAGCTCCCTATGGGGCCACGAAACGTGTGTGTGAGTGTGCCGAAATGGGTGGTGGGGAAGCATGCGAACGCAGGAGGGAGGAGGGCGAGGAGAAGGAGGAAGAAGGAACGCGGGGACCGTCTCTTCAAAACGAGGACCCAACACCACAGGATGGTTGGGAACAAAGCGAGATCGAGATGCCGAAGACACGGTCCATCTTGCGGACGGCTCCAGGGCTCTTGGTAACAACTTGGACCTCTGGGCAGTCGTTCGAAACCCTACTTTGGGTGCCGGCACATACTTGATTCGAGGCTGCACCATGACTTCGAAGCGGGACTTTTGAACCCATCACCCTGGACAGGCAGCGCTGTCCTACGAACGTGGCCGAAACTCCCTCTCTCGTTTCGGCACGCCGCGGAGGAGAGGAGGGGAGGACGCACCTTTTCCAGCATGGGGTTGGCGCATCTGCGCCGCTATGACACGGATTCTCCCCAACGACCCGCACACCACACCCACCCCCAGACTGTGCTGGGAGGGCGGGCGGGGCAAAGCGAAGTTGCATTGGCTCCCACCCTCCCATCAGTGAGCGAAGAAGTACGAACATTGATGAGCACGAAGACGGACACATCGTGCTGTCTTCCGCATCCATGGCTCTGGAATCCGTGGCATCAATTTCTAACTCTGGGCAATTCTTCGAAATCCGACTTCGGGCGGGTGTGGCAACCTATCCGTGAACACAGGCCGTTTATCACGCATCTAAGAAGTATCAGCTGGATGACATGTTACTACCTCAACAATGACCCGAAATACGAACACAACAGCAAAGCATCAGACAAGCCGGCGTAGGTCTCGGAGCGCGCAATCTGTATGACGAAGCGAAACCCCCTAAATCAGTGGGTTCGAAAATTTAGGGAACTTTCTCAGTGGCGCGATCCGTGTAAGATGTGAGCCGAGACGGGAGGGCGAGCGCATGCGGGCGAACTGTTGTGGGACACGTATAAGGGGCAAGCTCCGCGTGAAGGGTTCGCCGAATGGGCGGGTGGCGCATGCGGGCGCCTTCGCTGGAGCTTTTGGAGGAGCTCCTCACAAGGCGCGATCCGCGTGGGGCATGTGCTGCAGTCGGCGGGTGCGCGCACGGGGGCGTCCTCGCTGTTATTTTGGTTGGACTGACTCATCATGGGGCACGACCTGTGTGATGCGTGCGCTAACAATGACGGGCGGGCGCATGCGGGCGCCCTCGCTGGAGCTGCTGCCGGAACTTCCGAATGCGCCCAGCCAGCCATGCAGGCTGTCAACCAGCCAGCCAGCCAGCCAACTAGCGAAATGAACATACCCACCAGCTGGCCAGCCAACTAGCCAACCAGTCGAGTTGCCAACGTTTGTGGCGCGCCCAGGGGGAAGTGAGAAGGAGCAGGCCTTCTCAGAAGGCGGCGGGGCTTCTCAGAAGCACTCTGGCCTTCTGATGTTTTATTTCATGTCTTCGGGGAAGGCTCAGAAGACTTTTCAGAAGACCCAAGGCCTGCCAAGCCTTTCGATAAGGCCCGCCCCCCCCTAACCCCCCCCCCACCCCGGGCTCGCCGCCGATAATTAGCCAGACAACGAACCGATCAACCCGACAAATCAAGCCAGCCGTTTGAGCAATCAGAGGCGGCAGCAGAGGGCGAAGCCCAGCAGACTCTAGCAGCTCGTCGAGCAGCAGCAGCCCCTTCTGCCACTGCGCGCCACTTCCAAGAGCACTGATTGCAGCACTGTAGGTGATGGCGCTTGGCTCGATACTCAGCTCTCCCATCTCGCACAACAAGCGCAGCGCCTGCTCCCACTGCCCGCTTCTCTCGCACGCGCTGATTCCAGAGTTGTAGCTGACTGCGGGACACTCGTTTGAAAGTTCGGTCAATTGCAACCCCAGCCATTTTCTTATTTGGCGGGCACGAACTATACAAATGAGGGAATCAGGGGGAGAACGCACAGGTCTGTCTGTGGCGAGGCGCGCCACTCTTCAATGCCAATCCACCTTCACTCCAGAAACTCAGAGAAACACCCACTGGCAGGGCGCGCCGATGCGGCTCCAGCCACTTTCAAAACGCGAATAAAAGGAAGACCACTGCCCCAGCGTAGAAGGCATGGCCACAGCCCCAGAAAGCATGGCCCCAATATCACCCGGGAAAGCACGGCCTGTACATGGAAGGGCCCAAGAATGTCCCTGTTCTTTCCGGCCGCAATGCTCTGTACGCGAAACGGAAATGAGCACACTATTGGGCTGACCGGTGGCGTGGTGGACTCACGTCCACGACAACGCGTCGGTGCTGCCTCGTGGCTTGCTGCCGTTTGCTGTCACTTCTTGTCGATTATTGTGGCTTGCTCCAGCCTGCTGCAGATTGCCGACGCTCTCTGCTGATTGCCCCAACCTGCTGCTGATTGCTTCTGCAGATGATCGCTGCTGCCGCTTGTTGCTGCTGGCTCTGCTCTTGGCTTTGCTAGTGCCTCCTGCTGCTGCTGCTGGCTCTTCGGCTAATTGGGCCGCCTCTTGTCGCCGTCTTAGGCTTGGGACTTCTGGAGCCGTCTTGGTGCAATCCGAGGCGTTCCAAAGGCACTTTTCGGCGTCTTGGAGCTACTTTCTCCTGGGCCATTCTGCCAGTCTCTGAAGGAGGCCTCGGTGCCACCTCACGTCATCTGAAACCGAGATAGGCGAGAAATGGACGACACGTCAAGATAACATTTAATTTTTGTGCGGAGAAGCCTCCAAGAGCCTCGTCGAAGAGTCCGGGCTGCAACATAGGGCAGCATGCCTGAGCCTGTCGAGGCCTGTGATGCTACGTGTGGCCAGCGGAGGCCACGGAGGACGCTCGTGCGGCTGGCCACTGAACAGGGCCACTGGACAGTGCCACCATGGGTTTCTGGATAGTCCTGGGACGGTGCCCAGTGAGAAATACACGCAATTGATCCTGATGAGATTCTGAGCCGCCCGCCATGGGAACTGAGAACAAATCACATTCGGCTCCAACTTAGCCTCCCTCAAATCGCAAAGCAAACACAGCGCATGCTGCCATTGCCCACTCTTCCCACACGCGCTGATTCCAACACTGCAGCTGAGAACGTCGTGCTCTAATGTCGCTTCCGAGAACTCGCTAAACAACGACAATGCCTTTTGCCACTCCCCGCCCTTCTCACATGCATTCATTGCAGCACTGCAGCTGATGACGCACGCCTTCACCATTGTTGTACGCATCTCCCCGAGCAAAGACAAAGCCAACTGCCACTCTCCACCATTCGCGCACGCACTAATTCCAGTATTATAACTGATACCGTCAAGCTGTATCCTTGCCTCTACCATCTCCCTGAAAAATATGAACGCGAGCTGCCACCGCCCCTCTTTCACGCAAGCGCTGAGTCCAGCATTGTAGCTGATCGAGGCTGGCCCGTGGGATATCTGCTATGAACGGCTCTCCGATTGAGTTGGCAAAATCTAAACAATAATACCCACTCGGAGCCACGTTCACAGACAAACCCCACACGCCTGCCAATGTCGCATACAATGCGGCTGGATACGACGTGGAAGTCAAAGTTCCACTTCTAAAGCAATGGCAACGTCCAGGATCCGATGGAAAAACCATCCAACCGCGGACGCGCTGAACCATTATTACTCTCGTTCCAAGTTCTTGTGTAGCTTTCAGAACTGCGTCTCCTTATGACAGCGGCTTCCGCGTGAACATGTGTGTGTAATTGTAAGTGTAAGTGTAACTGTAAGTGTAAGCGCAAGGGTAAATGTGACTGTGAGTGTAAGTGTATGTGTAAGTAGACATGTAAGTGTAAACGTGCAAGAGAGTGTCAGCGAAAGTGCCGATGTACGTGTAAGCGTGCAAGTGTAAATATAAATGCAACTGTAATTATAAGTGTAAGTATAAGTGAGAGTGTAAGTGTAAATGTGAAGAGAAAGTGTAAGTGTAAGCGTGTGTGTGTATAAGTGTAAGTGTAAGTGCACGTGCAAGCGTAAGCGTAATTGTAAGTGTCTCTGTAAGCATGTAGGTGTAAGTGCAGGTGTAAGTGTACTTGTAATTCTAAGAGTACAAGTAAATGTGTAAGTGTGAGTGTGAGTGTAAGTATGAGTGCACGTGGAAATGCAAGTGCAAATGCTAATTTTTAAGTGTAAATGTGAGTGTGAGTGTGAAAATACGTGTAAGTGTAAGTGTACGTGTACGTGTAAGTGTAAGTGTAAGTGTAAGTGTAAGTGTAAGTGTAAGTGTGGGTGTGGGTGTGGGTGTACGTGTACGTGTACGTGTACATGTGCGTGTGCGTGTGCGTGTGCGCGTGCGTGTGCGTGTGCGTGTGCGTGTGCGTGTGCGTGTGCGTGTGCGTGTGCGTGTGCGTGTGCGTGTGCGTGTGTGCGTGTGTGTGCGTGTGCGTGTGCGTGTGCGTGTGCGTGTGCGTGTGCGTGTGCGTGTGCGTGTGCGTGTGCGTGTGTGCGTGCGTGCGTGCGTGCGTGCGTGACGGGCGTGCGTGCGTGCGTGGGCGGGCGGGCGGTCGGGCGTGTGTGCGTGTGTGTGTGTGTGTGTGAGTGTGTGTGTGTGTGTGTGTGCGTGTGCGTGTGCGTGTGCGTGTGCGTGTGCGTGTGCGTGTGCGTGTGTGTGGGCGGGCGGGCGGGCGGGCGTGCGTGCGTGCGTGCGTGTGTGTGTGTGTGTTGTGTGTGTGTGCGTGCGTGTGCGCGTGCGTGCGGCCCGCGCAAGTGCCCATCCTGAAGGGCGACGGCGCCATGGCTGATGCATCGACGCGCGCGGCGCTTCTTCGCCGCGCCCTCCTCGACCAGCACCCCATCATGCCTTTTGTTCTGGGCCCTTTCTGCACTCGGCTGCCCGCGCATGGCTTTCCACCTTGCGATCGGCGCCGTAGCACGAGCATGGCGTGCCCTCTGCGCCTCTCTCCACGCGCGCCTCGCCTCCCAGCTGGCTGCTCCTCGGTCGGTTGTCTGCAGTGTTCCTTCCCAGTCCCTCCGGGGGCTCGGTCGTGTCCATCCTGCTCGGCCTTTCCGCGCGGTGCTGCCTTCCTGGCCGCAGTTCGGCTCTGCCTTTGTCTCATCCCAGCGACTGCCTTGCCCTGGGTCATCGCTGCCTGCTGGCTCCCCTGCCTGCGGCTCGCCTTTGCGGCCTGTCGCTGCGCCTCGCCGTTCACGCCTGCGCTGCGCATTGCTGTTCACCCCGCTGTCCTCTTCTTCTCTCCGTCTCTCCGCTTCTTTCCCCTCGCGTCTGCCCCCCTGCGAGTGATGCTGTCGATCCCCTATGGGTGGATGCAGTGTCTCCACGCCGCGTAACCTGGGCTGGCCGCGCGCACCTCTTTTCCATTTTTTTTACGCCGCGCCGCTGCACGTGTGGCCACGACGCCACAATTGTGCGCGCGTGTGTACGAGGGTGTGTGGGGCGTGTGCGTGTGCGTGTGCGTGTGGTGTGAATATGTTTGCGTGTGAGTGTGCATGTGTTTGTGTGTGAAGGTGTGTGTGTGCGCGTGTGGAGGCGCATGGTGCATCACCATCTCAGAATTGGGCAGCGGACAACGTTCGTTTTACACTTTTGTTCAGTTTGTTCAATATAGCTTCGCAGGTTCACAACTGATCATCTGTTCCGCACACATTCTAGCATCGACGTCAGAATCATCTCACACGGAGGAGAAATACCGAGATAATCGTAGCGTGTGCATCTTCATTGCGCCCCCTAAATCGGAACAGTTCGACCTACAACTCAGCCAAGCCCTACCTGCCGTCGCGCAATTTGTTCGACTCCCAATTGCTTTACAACTGCACCCTTGTATACCAATGGCACAAACCTGTACACATTCACTGGGAATCTGCCTGCCATCATCTCGCTCTCGTGGCGAACTCCGCCGCTGGTGTTGATTGGCTCTGAACCGTGCAACTGCTGCCAAAGCGCCTTGCGGTGTTGTCTAGTATGAGCCATGTAGACCTGTCCCACGCGACGTTGCGACCCTAGTCGGGTACAGGCTGACAATAGAACCTTAGCCGTAATGCCCTTTGCGACGGCAAACGTAAAACGGAGCGTGATACCTGAAGTGCGTTGCCGCCCTCAACATGTGCAGATATACACTTATACTCGTATGCAAACAAGATGCTAAAGGCAACACCTCTATGACTCTCGCCTGTTTGGAGCCTGCGAGGGCGCGCAGTGTAGGGCATAGCGACGCAATTGGGTTCCACATTGATTCCTCTCATCTGGCTTATCAACTGAAGTGCTTGCTGCCACTGCGCGCCCTTCCCAACCGCACTGATTGCAGCACTGTAGCTAAACGCATCTGGCTCCACCTGTGACTCCTCCATTTCGCCGAGAAGCCACATAGCACGCTGCCACTCCCTGCTTGTCCCACATATGCGAATGACTACGTTGAAACATTGTGGGCGTATTTCTGCGTGTGACTCCACCAACTCTCGGAACAAATGCAGTGCTACGTTCCACTGCTTCGTGCTGCCGCAGCCTTTGACTGCCCCTGTGAAGGACGAGCTGCGACATTGAATTCCGTACTGTCTTACCTCCCCTGGGGCCAGCAGCATTGGCTAGCCCGCCAGTGACAGCGCTTCAGCCCGTGGCAAGCCTTGAGAAGAAATGAGGCGCGGGATACGATTAGGAAGAGGAGGGAAGACAAGCGCGGCCAGCTCAAGAAAAATGATCCGTGAAACCAGTCCACTGAAACTCGTCAGGCGGCAGCAAGATAAGGAATCACGTAGCACGCTTAGGGTCATGGTAGGCTGCATGGGCGGTGGATGTCGTTAATGATTGGCTGTGCGCCGACGCTCAACCGTGCAAAGGCGAGGGCCCGAAGACGGCCCCAAGAGGCCCAGATGCCCAGATGGGGAACCCGAGCCGACATTTCGAGCCCTCGTGCCCCAAGAGGCCCCCAAGAGGCCCCCAAGAAGCCCCCAAGAGGCCCCAAGATGCTCCCACGAGGCCTGCTCCCAAGAGGCCCCCGAGAGCATCTGAAAAAGCATCCCTGAGAACTCTGATCCACAACCCAGGCACGGTGGCGGGATGGGCCGAAACCGACTAGATCCGCCGCCCCCTGCTTGCAGGGGTGCACGGCGTGCTGGATGAGCTGGTTTTGGTTTTGGTTCTTTTTCCAAAAGAACTCCCGAGTGGGCTCCGGCAGAACCCGCCGGCCACCCGGAAAATCCCCAAACGTGCTCAACGACCGGAAAAAATCCTCCAAAAAACGGCCGTTTCGCTCGGGACATCCTCAAAAAAACGCGAAGATGGCCCAAGATGGCCTCCAAGTCCGCCCGAGATGGTCCAAGACGGCCTCCAAAACGGCCCAAGAGAGTCCAAGACGGCCCAAGACGGCCCAAGAGGCCCCCCAGAGGCCTCCCAGACGGCCCAAGAGGCCTCCAAGAGGTCCTCCAGGAGAGTCCGAAGAGGCCAAAAAGAGGTCATCCGATCATTGATTTTTCTTTGGTTTTTGAAGGATTCTGGCATTTGCGCCTTTTCGGCTCTCCGACGGCTCGAGACGGCCCAAGAAGCCCCCAAGATCGCCCAAGAGGCCCCCAAGAGAGCCCCATGATGGCCCAAGTGGCCTCCAAGATGGCCCCTAGAGGGCCCCAAGAGGGCCCAAGAGGCCTCCAACACGCCCAAGATGGCCTCCCAGACGCCCAAGATGGCCTCCAAGACGGCCCTGGAGCATTCCAAGCGGGCCCCAAGTCGGCCCATAGAGGCCCCCCAAACGGCTTCCGACGGCTTCAGACGTGCCAGGAACCCACCAAGATGGCCGAAGTTGGCTCGAAGCTGGCCCGAGACGGCCCAAAAAGCCCCAAAGATCGCCCAAAGCTTGCCCAAGAGGCCTCCAAGACGGCCAAGATGACCTTCAAGATGCCCACGTGTTCCCCGAAGGCTTTCCAAACCGATTCGGGGAACACGTGGTCCGATAGCTTGGCAGGTCTGGCCTCAACGTTCGGCCACATAGGCGCTTCCAAAAAGGCAGGGGGCGGCGATGATTCGCCGTAGGCGTCTTCGATCCGCCGCCCCCTGTGGTCTTGCCACAGGGGTGCCCGGCGTGCTGGACGATTCAGGTTTTGTTTTTGGTTCTTTTTCTAAAAGAACTCCCCAATGGGCTTCGGCCCGTCCCGCCGGCCACCCGTAAGTTTCCGAAAATCCATCTGTCAATGCCTTTGTTGCCCCAACTTGGCCCAAGATGGCCTCCAAGACGGCCAAGATGGCCCAAGATGGCCTCCAAGATGCCTCCAAGACGGCCAAGATGGCCTCCAAGACGGGTAAGATGGCTCCAAGATGCCTCCAAGACGGCCCAAGATGCCCTCCAAGACGGCCAAGATGGCCCCAAGATGCCTCCAAGATGGCCCAAGAGGCCTCCAAGACGTTCTCCAGGAGAGCCCGAAGAGGCCAAAATCATTGGTTTTCCTTAGGTTTTTGAAGGTTTTTTGCGTTTTCTTCTTTTCGGCCTTCCGACGGCCCAAGAGGCCCCCAAGATCGCCCAAGAGGCCTCCAAGAAGGCCCTATGACGGCCCAAGGGCCCCCCAAGACGGCCCCAAGAGCGCCCCAAGACGGCCCAAGAGGCCTCCAAGACGCCCAACATGGCCTCCAAGACGGCCCTGAAGCGCCCCAAGAGGGCCCCAAGACGGCCCAGAGAGGCCCCCAAGACGGCTCCAGACGGCGTCAGACGGACCAGGAACGCCCTAAGACGGCCAAAGAGACCCCCAGGAAGCCCCCAAAGGCCCCCAAGAGGCCCAAGGAGGCCCCCAAGATGCCTCCAAGAGGCCTCGAAGAGGCCCCCAAGAAGCCCCCAACAGACCCCAAGGGTGCCCCAAGAGACTCCTAACAACCCTCATCCTCCTACTCTATTTCTTCCTCTTCCTCTTCCTGTTCATAATCATTCTCTCCCATGTGTTCCCCGAAAGCTTTCCAAACCGACTCGGGGAACTCATGGTCCGATAGCTTGGCCAAGCTCTAATCCAACTTTCGGCCACATCGGCGTCTCCAAAAAGGCAGGGGGCGGCGGTGATTCGCCGTAGGCGTCTTCGATCCGCCGCCCCCTGCTTGCAGGGGTGCACGGCGTGCTGGACGTTTCAGGTTTTGGTTTTGGTTCTTTTTCTAAAAGAACTCCCCAGTGGGCTTCGGCCCGTCCCGCCGGCCACCCGTAATTTTCCCAAAATCCGTCTGTCAATGCCTTTGTTGCCCCCAACTTGGCCAAGATGGCTCCAAGATGCCTCCCATGCCCTCCAAGACGGCCAAGATGGCCCAAGATGCCTCCAAGATGGCCCAAGAGGCCTCCAAGACGTTCTCCAGGAGAGCCCGAAGAGGCCAAAATCATTGGTTTTCCTTAGGTTTTTGAAGGTTTTTTGCGTTTTCTTCTTTTCGGCCTTCCGACGGCCCAAGAGGCCCCCAAGATCGCCCAAGAGGCCTCCAAGAAGGCCCTATGACGGCCCAAGGGCCCCCCAAGACGGCCCCAAGAGCGCCCCAAGACGGCCCAAGAGGCCTCCAAGACGCCCAACATGGCCTCCAAGACGGCCCTGAAGCGCCCCAAGAGGGCCCCAAGACGGCCCAGAGAGGCCCCCAAGACGGCTCCAGACGGCGTCAGACGGACCAGGAACGCCCTAAGACGGCCAAAGAGACCCCCAGGAAGCCCCCAAAGGCCCCCAAGAGGCCCAAGGAGGCCCCCAAGATGCCTCCAAGAGGCCTCGAAGAGGCCCCCAAGAAGCCCCCAACAGACCCCAAGGGTGCCCCAAGAGACTCCTAACAACCCTCATCCTCCTACTCTATTTCTTCCTCTTCCTCTTCCTGTTCATAATCATTCTCTCCCATGTGTTCCCCGAAAGCTTTCCAAACCGACTCGGGGAACTCATGGTCCGATAGCTTGGCCAAGCTCTAGTCCAACTTTCGGCCACATCGGCGCTTTCCAAAAAGGCAGGGGGCGGCGGTGATTCGCCGTAGGCGTCTTCGATCCGTCGCCAACAACAACAACAACAACAACAATCACTTTACCCGAACGCTCAGTGTTCTCACCAGTGCCAGGGTTTTCATGCGACGCCAGCCAATACCCCCACTTTGTGGGGGGGCAGTGCAAGCTCTACCAAATATCCACACGACTCTTCGCCACCACCCACACCCAGCTTCCCGCCCTATGACGTTCGGACACTTCACTTCGTGGCCTGCGGACGACCGTGGCTACTACACTGGCGTGGAGTACACACCCACAGAAGTTGTTAGGACAGCGCGCGCGGGTAGAAATTTTGAAAAGTCGTGCAGGTGTTTTTCGAGGACCTACGGTGCGATTCGTGTGATTTTATGATGCGCGGTGCTAAAATTCTTAAGAAGCCCAATGGTTTTTGGAGATTTCGGCGTGCGCGCGCGAAGAAAAAACGAATGTGTCCCGCATGGTATTATTTGACAGGGATGATGGCCCTGGCAGGTGCGCAACCGTTGTCGCAGAAGTTCGAAAAAGTTGCTCGCAAAAGCCCGTTTGACAGAAATGTTTAAAAAGTGTTGGGTTTCCTACGAATCCGCAAGAGCGCGCGGGATGAGATTTTGACATTTTTTTGTTGAAAAACCATTGGTTTTTTGATGTTTTTATGTTAAAATCGTTGCGAACACTAAGCTTTTGGAAGGATTTCGTCTTGCGCGCGCGAATGTCCACTTTACCTTATTTTTTGCAAGGGATTCTTGAAATTTGATTATATTAGAACAAGAAATGTCATTTTATAGTGTTTTTTGCAAGGGAAAACGGATTACAACAAAACAACCGGATCTGGACCCCATCCACTTTTCTGAAGCTTTCGCGAAAATGATGAAAATGTAGCTGCGGCCTAGGCGCGGCGGGGGGGCCGTGCACCAGGGGTCCCAACAATAATTATTCTTTAGAATTAATAATGTTCAACAACAACAACAACAACAATTACTAGCACGTGGGGACACTCCGTTCTCACCAGTGCCAGGGTTTTCATAGGAGGCGGGCAATACCCCCACTTTGTGGGGGGGCCGGTTCAAGCTCTACCAAATTTCCAAACGACTCTTCGCCACCACCCACACCCAGCTTCCCGCCCTATGACGTTCGGACACTTCACTTCGTGGCATGCGGACGACCGTGGCTACTATTCAGGGCCCCGCGGCCGACGACGACGGCGTGCGCGCGCGAAGAAAAAACGAATGTGTCCCGCATGGTATTATTTGACAGGGATGATGGCCCTGGCAGGTGCGCAACCG